GTTGTTTCCCATTTGTGACTTATTGTTCTATCAGATTCCATTCCATCTGTAAATCTCAAATATACATTAACAAATGGCAAAATAATTCAGCTAATGTTCTTGTTTATATTATTTTTGGAACTAGTAGCATATATATATATATATAGGAAAGCTACAACTTTTAATCTTATGCCAATATATCCACAGGTGATAATACTCTGGTTATTTAGAATGTGCAAAATAATTCAGAAAAATGTAAAGTAAATTGAAAGGGGATGGAAGAATTGAGCATTTTGTTGTCAAGTCTTGCTGATCTTTTCGGGTTGTTTCATTATGATAGGTTAAAACAGTGCAAGTGAGCAATGTTTCTTTGGGTGCTAAAGAGCAAGATATGAAGGAGTTCTTTACCTTCTCTGGGGATATTGAATATTTAGAGATGAAAGGGTTAGTCTTCTGTTCTCTTCTTTTTGGTTTTTCAACATCCAACTTATCTTTACATAAGATTTTATATGGTCAGAAGTGCTAATCTAGAAAAGTAAGGTGATAAACAGGGGCAGATGTGCCTATTGAGAATGATTCATGGTTACTTTTATTCCCTTACATGTTTTCTTTTATTTTATAGTGAGAGTGAGCGATCTCAAGTTGCGTATGTCACGTTCAAGGATCCTCAGAGTGCAGAGACTGCAGTTCTTCTTTCAGTATGTAGACTTCTCATTGATCTAAGCATTTTGTAAATTTTTTTGTTAATGTTAGTTAATAAGTTTCTGCAATTGCCACCTCTGATTCATTTAATGAATGAAAAAAGCTGTTATCTTTGTTGATGAAGTACTTTTTTTGGAGGCATTATATGTCTTGTAGTATAATTTATGATGGTTGTCTTTTGAGTGCATACCACAAATTCTATAAAAGGTACAAGATCTTTGTGCCAGTTAAGTTAGCAAGCATCCCTTATCCTTCTGAAGTATCACTTTGTTTCCTCAATGTGGAATATTGTTTTGTGGGCTGAAGACAGAATGGGAATTTTGAAGTGTCCCTATTGTAGAATTCTGAGAATAGCATTAAGTAGGTTAGCTCATATTGTTTGTGCTTTTGGGTGGTTCTCCCGAATCTTCCCGTCTATTATTTCCTTGTTGCCTCATCTATCCATCTGAGATAAATTCAGATTTTCTTTCACATTCAGGAGATTGCTAAGTTTTCTGGGTTACAAAAAGAAAAAAGGATACTGCTTATATTAGGGAGCATCAAAGGAGCTGCTGCACGAGACAATTTGCTGCACATTTGTGCTGTTTTTCTTGGTTAAACTGCCACATGTAACTTTGATTGTTCCCAACATAGACAAATGTTAGCTTTTTTGGCCACAGAGGGAGTGAAGGATGTGGGAGATGAAGTTTCATTCCTCATTTCATATTGATACAGGTAGCTTACAATAAAGAAATGGACCTTGGCCTAATTCAATCCCAAAAGTTTCTTGAGGATTTCCCAAGAACAAATAAGTAGACAAGCAACTCATCCCTCAAGCCAATGTGGGAAACTTTGTATGAGCGTCCAGTTTTGACCTCCTTTAAGTATTTATCAGCTGGGGTAGCATTCACAGTTGTCTGTATCTTGACTTGGTGTTGGTGAGGTATGGATTTTCTCTGTCGTTGTTAGCAAATATTTTTTTTGGCGCATGGCTATGTATCAGCTCTTCTTTCTTCTTTTCTTCCTTGGTGTGTAGGGGAGGGTACAGAGGGGTATATTAGGCAGATGACACATTTGAGATATGTCAGAAGTGT